AGTAACTGCTCTTGCAGAGTGCAATTGCACATTGCAAAGTGCACATTCTATTTGCCTTTAGTAAATCAACCCCACGGTGTTGCGTTAGAAAAAAAAAAAGGATGTACAAAATAAAGTATGGTGCGTTGGCAACTCATTAGTTCTGATAGGCTGCATTACTCACCACAAAGATGTAAATGGGCCCCAACAGTTACATACTACTGGACTGGCAAGGTGTGGGTTGACAATATAATAAAATAATGATCCAGGTGGCTAGTAGCTGGCATATTGGTGTTCTTTTTATCATTTCACAACAAGCTTTGCCGTTTACTTTCCTTTTAACACCATGTCTAGGTAAGTGGCTTTCGTCATACTGATCTCCATTGCTACTGTGCATCACCATATCTGGCAGGTTGCTGAACACAAACATCAGCAGTGACTTGGCTTTTTGTCGGCCACATATAAACGTTGAATGCTCCGATCTTTATTCTTACATTGAGGCACGAGGACAAATAACAGTCAGCAACAGTTCACAAGGAAAAGGGTGTGCCGGCTATTTGTTAGCTATATAAATGAGGCATTAAATGAGTCTGTGTACTTATTCTGGATACACACAATACAGTGCACATTTCTGTAAACAGAAGCAATGTTTTCTTGATACAGAACATTGTTCTCTTACATAAAAGATTTCTTCTTCTATAGAATGTGGCGTCTTTTGAAGTTACCTGCAGCGGGAATACAGGATCACTAGGAGACATTATCATCCCTTGACAATATGTATAATACATATCTCTATCACAGTCATGTCTGAGATCCAGCTGAAACAATATAGCATTAAAGTATATCAAAAGCTAAAAACATAATTAAAATAAACAGTGTAGCGCTAATAAATATATATATATATAAATATCCAGTGAATAAGTGATTACAATAAACAAACTCAAAAAAAACACCCCCTAAGAGTATATATACAGAATAATAAACAAAGGAATATACAATAGTGTCATGCGTGAATTCCCTCGTGGGGAATATCTAGTGCCAAAAAACATAATACATTGCATCTTTACCATTCTTTAGACATGGTAGCTGTATTAGTTTTCTTTTTTTTTTCAGACTTTTTCCCCTTTATTTTCACCAGATAATCCTGCCAGTAACACACTTGCTGTCTTAGCTTTACAACTCTTATTCATTAATACTGGGTATCAATGGAGGAGCAGCATTGTCACTCCAGGGCAGGAAGTGTGTTAGGACTACAGAAGAACATCCCCCTCTGCTCTACCATTTGGAGGTGTTTTGTAGTCCTTAGCGCTCATGTGCACTGCAGCTGATAAACTGATGTTCAGGAGCTTTTCTGCGTTTTTTTCAGCAGCCCCTGAACTCTCCCTAATGTTTTCCTATGTGTCCATGTACACATAGTCGTTTACACAGGCAGTTGAGTTTACAGTCGTTTTTTTTGAATGCACCAAACTTGCGTTCAGAAGTAGATTTTATCAGCGTTTCAAACGCCAAATGCTTGTAATGCGGCTAACCGCGTTTATAAGCATTTGTGTTTAGATGCGTTTTTTAACTGTTCCATATCCAGATGCTGTCCAGAGCCTTTTTTCATCATCAGAAATGCAAAGCGTTTTCCATGTATTCAAATGGACCCGGCACACCAGCGCAGTCAGTTCCAGGTTTTGCGTGAAGGAAAAAAATAGTAGAACGTGCTGCATTCTGCTCATGATGTGATCCATAGTGAATACAACCAGAAAAGACAGGTCATCTCAAACACATACTGCTCTCTGCTTCTGCTCTCTATTCCTCTCAAAATAGTTAATTTTTTACTGTTTTTCAGTGCATTCGGGGCATTTTGGAAGGTTTCCTGAGGTTATCTTAAAAAAACGCTTCTAAATGCAAACGCACATAAACGTGGTATGCAAACGTGTCTAAAACAGACGTTTTTAACCTACGTTTTCCAGCAGTCAGTTTCCATCGTTCAGAAGAGTTTTCCAAAAGTCCCGTGTACATGAGCTCTTAGAGAGAGAGAGAGAGATAGAGAAATTAGGGAGCAATGTAACTGATAACAGTACAGCAGAAGCCAGGTGTAGAGGAAGAAAATCAGTTTACTGGATTTTTATCAAAATAAGTAACAGTCTGATAACAGGACAAACCTGATTTACCCGTCCACATTGTTGGCCCCTGTATGGGCTCAGGCTTCTTCCTTCATCACGCTGGACATACCGTTAATGGGCCTTCAGGTCTGGGAACCAAAGGGATGGACAACAGCTCTAGACTTGTGTTGTAATTAAACCTCCTAAAAAGTGCCGCGCTTCACCCACCTGTGTACCAATTAATCCTATTGTTTACACTCAATTTTCCAAAATTGTGGATATAAATCATATCATACTGAAATTACATCAAATAATAAATATTCAAAAATATGTATTTATATATTTATTCAATATTCAAATAAATATAAAATAAATGTCCATCAGCAGTCCAAAAAAACCCATCTGTAACAGGTGTGAACACCTGTGCCATCAGTGTGCTGGTTGCCTGAAAAACCTGGTTCCAGAATATTAGATTTCCTCCCTCCCAAATCTCTATGAAATCTCCAGGCTTCAGGTCACAAACCAAATTTTACCACCCACTGATGAAAACTGCAAACCCAGTTTGCCCCGAATGAAATACGCATCCTGGAGCCCCTCAACCTGCCTAGTTGAGAATCCTGGGTGACCTAAAACTTACATATATAGTTGTGTTCAAAATAATAGCAGTGTATTGAAAAAAGTGAATAAAGCTCAAAATCCTTCTAATAGCTTTTATTTCCATACACACAAATGCATTGGGAACACTTCACATTCTATTCCAAATCAAAACATGAAGAAAAATATATCAAATTTGTGTTGTTCCTCTAAAAAATTTGAAGAAAAGTGAATATTAGACTGTTCAAAAAATAGCAGTGTTTGTATTCTTCTTTACAAACTCAAACATTCACTATATAAACTGAAAAATGTTTGAAGATTTTGCTTTCCTTTGAATCACTTAATGAATATTTAGTTGTATAAGCACTGTTTCTGAGAACTGCTGTACATCTGTGTTGCATGGAGTCACCCAACTTCTGGCACCTGTGAACAGGTATTCCAGCCAGGATGATTGGACTACATTCCACAGTTCTTCTCTATTTCTTGGTTTTGCCTCAGAAACTGCATTTTTGATGTCACCCCACAAGTTTTCTATTGGATTAAGATCCGGGGATTGGGCTGGCCACTCCATAACGTCAATCTTGTTGGTCTGGAACCAAGATGTTGCACGTTTACTGGTGTGTTTTGGGTCCTTGTCTTGTTGGAACACCCATTTCAAGGGCATTTCCTCTTCAGCATAAGGCAGCATGACCTCTTCAAGTATTCTGATGTATTCAAACTGATCCATGATCCCTGGTATGCGATAAATAGGCCCAACACCGTAGTATGAGAAACATCCCCATATCATGATGCTTGCACCGCCATGCTTCACTGTCTTCACAGTGTACTGTGGCTTGAATTCAGTGTTTGGGGGTCGTCTGACAAACTGTCTCCGGCCAATAGACCCAAAAAGAACAATCTTACTTTCATCAGTCCACAAAATGTTGCGCCACTTCTCTTTAGGCCAGTCAATGTGCTCTTTGGCAAATTGTAACCTCTTCAGCACATGTCTTTTTTTTCACTAAAAGTGGGACTTTGCGGGGGCTTCTTGCAGATAGCTTGGCTTCACATAGGCGTCTTCTAATTGTAACAGTACTCACAGGTAACTTTACACCTTCTTTGATCTTCCTGGAGCTGATTGTTGGCTAACTCCTTGCCATTTTGGCTATTCTTCTATCCATTCGAATGGTAGTTTTTCGCTTTCTTCCACGTCTTTCAGGTTTTGGTTGCCATTTTAAAGCATTTGCGATCATTTTAGCTGAGCAGCCTATCATTTTCTGCACTTCTTTATATGTTTTCCCCTCTCCAATCAACTTTTTATCAAGGTACGCTGTTCTTCTGAACAATGTCTGGAACAACCCATTTTCCTCAGAATTTCAGAGAGAAATGCACTGTAACCAGCATGTACAACATTTGCTGCTTTCCTTCCTTAAATAAGGGCAATAATTGCCACCTGTTTTTCAAAGAATGAATGACCTCACTAATAGAACTCCACACTGCTATTATTTTGAACATGCCCCTTTCAATAAGTGATTCAATTACACAGAATCAGCAGCATCCATGTCATGACTGTTGGGTCTGTTGGATTTCTATTACTCTACTACACCTGCTAGTAAATTATTTGCCATGCAGAAATATAATTTCTACCAAAAACAGTGATTGATCAGGTTAGTGATGTCTGACTGCTATTATTTTGAACACAACAACTATACATACAACATACAACTATATATACTATACATACATACACACACACACACACACACACACTGAATGCATGCAAAAGACAATAACCTAAGTAACCTTTGAACGGTTCCCTCTGTACCAAAGTAAAAGAAGATTAGTTGTACCAAGTTACTACAGTGGTCTAGTACTACAGATTTACTACACTGAAACTCTGCTTTACCTAATGCGGAGCTCGACCCAAAAAGGGGAAGGCTCCTTCCCCCACTCCGCATTAAGGATTGGCACTTTTGTTGGGAGCGGGGAGGACAACAAGTTTGACAGGTACCCGCTCCCACTTTTGATCAGAAGCAGAAGTTGTCCTCCCCCCTCTCTCCATATAGTCTTCTGAAACACATGACTGGTCCCAGAAGACTACAGGACCATTCACAAAGTGCAGTACTACTCGCGCATGCGCAGTGGGCACCCAGCTGTGAAACCAGGTGCTCACACTGAAGGTGCCGGGGAGAGAAGACGGCTGATGAAACTAGCGTGGTGAGAACACCGCTGGACCGAGGGACAGGTGTCTGTATTTTAAAAGTCAGCTGCTACAGTTTGTTTTTAATCAACTGGAACTCCGATTTAATAAGCCTACTAATGTGCTTTTCTTTTATTTAGGTCCCTGCAAGTTCTGCAAACCCTCCACAGAGATTTCCCTATGCACAAGTTAAAGAGCTCATCCAGGAATTTTTAACAGCAAGGCTAAGAAATGTCACCTATGACCCAGAAAAATCTGGAGATCTCACCAAAAACCTTTGTGAAGACATAAAGAAAATGGTGCGCAGGTACACTCCACCTCGCTACAAGCTCATCTGCAATATGGCCATTGGCAGTAAGAACCGAGAGGACATTTTAATGACCAGCCAATGTCTGTGGGACTCGTATTCGGATAATGTTACATCCTGCAGCTACGAGAACTCCACTATGTTCTGTGTGGTCACCGTGTATGCCGTCTACTTTGAGTAAACAAACTTAAACACTCTTGAAGGCTTTCTGGTCTACAATTTAAAAGATCTGAGTAATCTACTGTTTATTAGAGAGTTATCTGACCTAGTAATAAAGACAACGATGGTCCTAATCAGTAAGGAGTTCTTACAACAAATAGTTTCTCTTATGTGCTTCCTTTTGGTCTGCTAAAGATATAGTACCTTTGAAAGCATCTGTTTAAGAAGTGTAAAAAAAAGAATACTTATTGATCCTGACAAAAAAATCCAACAAGCTCCTACCTTCCTGTGCTTTCTGCCTCTGCTGCAATAAAATCTAAAGCAGTGGTATCAGCCCTGCCTAGTTCACATATGTGAACTGCAGAACACCTACTGCTATGTTTTGAAGATTAGAAGAGGGAAAGGTGTTCTATAGTCCAAATCAGGGCCACACAGCCTAGCAGAGCTTGACAAAGAGGTTAGTGCATGCTCTGAAAACGCGTCGCTATGCATGCTGGTTCCTGACGTCATCACGCTGACATCGCGCCTCAGTGTGCGTTCCAGACGCCATCTTAGTGAGGTTACACATGCCAGCTGGCTTCTTCCTCCTGTCACCACGCTACTCCTGGGTGCAGGCGCAGATGTCCGATACTGGAACACATCTGTTCCTCATACTCTCTTGGATATTCACCCAATACATGCCTGTTTTACTACTGCTACATGTGAGTGTTCCTACATTTGAGATTTATTAAAGTGGTTCTGATGCACTTAGAGGCGCTTTCTTTTTCCTTTCTCATCACACAGAGTTCTGCTACAATACTTTATGAAGCTTGCCCAAAAGTGCCCCATGGACCTTCCTATTTTAATCTATTTGGACTCTATGGACTTTTACTATCCGTTTGGTCAACTGGTGGTAGTGTTTGCGCTGATTATCTTTTTTTCTTGTCTCCACACAGCCTAGCAGCTGAAAGCGACAACACAGCTCCTTCATAGATATAGTATAGTAAGCGTTGTCACCCTAGGACAGAAAATGTAGAGAGTGTTTTCACCATAAGACCGAAAGTGTGTTACTGGCAGGATTACTGGGGAAAATAAAGGAATAATAAGTCTGGAAAAAAACTAGCCAACAGATCTAAGGGTTGGTAAGCTGCAATATATTACAATTTTTGTTCAGCAACCAAACAGAATTCACCCCCCGATCTGACTGTAATAAGTGAATGTTGTTTGGCTGCTACCAGGTTACTGCACTTAAAGTGGATTCTCCCAAAAATGTTACATTCGAGTCATTCTTTGAATGCAAACTGTTACAGTTAATAGTGTACATGTGTTAGATCTCCACCATCAGATGTCTGTTGTCATAAATGATCACAAGTGCAGCACTATGGGAGATCAAACACAGATGGCGGCTTACTAGGCTGTAAAGGAGAGGAGGGTTAAGTTCCACTTTAAAGCTTTTCTAAAAAGGTACATTTTTAAATTAAAATAATAAACGTGGTATTTTTACCTGCTCTGTGCAATGGTATTGTACAGAGCCGATCCAAACCTCCTCATCTGGGGCTCCCTGCTGGTGATCTTGGCTCCACCTCTTCTATGTCTGCTGTAATAGCAAGCCGCTTGCTATGGGGGCAGACATACAGGTTCACTTTTGAGCCGAGCTGTGTGCTTTCATACAGACACACACAGCGCGATTCGGCCCCGCTCTCCGCTCACAGAATTTGACCAATGACTCTTGCTGCTGCCCTGTCCTCCTGTGAGAAGAGAAAGACAGGGGAGAAGAATTGCAGACGGGCATAGGGCTGGGTCAATACAGGACTTAGGCAAGTGTTTAGGGAGGTAGGGGAGACACAGCAAGTGGCTAGATATTTTTTTTATGGAATGCATTAAGGTAAAAAATGTTCCAGCTTTAGAAACACTTTAAGAATAGGAACTCTTTTCTTGAAAAAGGACATGAGACAAAAATAGTGACAGAGTACTGGAATAATTCTAATAATACTAGCAGGAAAGGAAGAAAAAGGCAATCTTATCCTTTTATTGGGGATATATGAAAGACGCTATGCCAAATTTAAAATGATATATCCATCAATTAGTTTAAAAACCGCTAATTCAGCTCTTCTCAACTGCCACCCTCTCCATTGGCCTCAGTAGCTGACAGTTACACTTTCATTGGATATTTCAGGGACTTTATATTTAGCATTTGCAAGTATTAGAATAAGTCCTGCAAGTGCTAAGTATAAAGTTCCCTAATAAATAGAACTCTTCTGTCTTGAAATGTAAATGTATGAGATGTCAGCACGGAATCATTGAGAGTACATATCTAGGTGTCCATCCCTTTAGTTGTACTTGTAATAACTGTCATTGGACAGGGGATGGCAGTTGTTGAGGCTCAAATGTATTTATAAAATACAACATTTCTATAAATCTATTTCGTCAAGGATAGACAATAAATGCTGAGACAATGTAATCCGATAATAATCCCCAAACTTCAAATAAGACCAGAGACTCCAAAAGAGGTTTTTAAATAATTTATAAAATATATCATGAATGTATAGTACAATGTATGTACATAGCTCTTAAATTAAATAATTCCATTTTCCATAATCCCTCTCCTACACTTACCAAAATAATTTAGCTCTGACCTTTTGCATTTATTTTGCTGATCATTGGAGTTTCAAGGCTCTTTTTGTTGCGTTTCATAGAAATGGAATACATTATTAAAAGAAAGTATACTGGAAACATACAGTGTCTGCAAGTCCATCCACGCACTTTCCAATGTTGCCCCTTCCTTGTACAATACAGAATAGATGCAGTCACCTGATTGCTGTTTTTTGCGGAGTCAGGTGACAATTTGACATGTAAGGGCTCATTAGCATGGGTGTCGAAAATGCTGTTTAAAATTTGTACAGCATATAGTTTTCTATGCATCGAATACAGCACTATGGGGGGTTATGTACTAAAACGGCATGGTGCAAAATCTGGTGCAGCTCTGCCTAGAAACCAGTCAGCTTCCAGGTTTTATTGTCAAAGCTGGATTGAACAAGCTGAAGTTAGAAGCTGATTGCCTACCATGTACTTCTGCACCGGATTCAGAGTGCTCCAGTTTTAGCAAATCTCCCCCAGTAGGAATAAATGGAGCCATACACACAGCTGTATTTACAAATGAAAATGTGAGCTGTGTTTAGAGGCATATAAAAAAAAAAAAAAGAAAAGTGTGTTCAGGGCAGTACATATACATACAGATTTTAGACCTGCAGACGGGTACACACATACAGATTTTATACATGCAGACGGGTACACACATACAGATTTTAGACCTGCAGACAGGTACACACATACAGATTTTATACATGCAGACGGGTACACACATACAGATTTTATACATGCAGACGGGTACACACATACAGATTTTATACCTGCAGACAGGTACACACATACAGATTTTAGACCTGCAGACAGGTACACACATACAGATTTTAGACCTGCAGACAGGTACACACATACAGATTTTAGACCTGCAGACAGGTACACACATACAGATTTTAGACCTGCAGACAGTGCAGACACACACATACAGATTTTAGACCTGCAGACGGGTACACACATACAGATTTTATACATGCAGACGGGTACACACATACAGATTTTATACATGCAGACGGGTACACACATACAGATTTTATACATGCAGACGGGTACACACATACAGATTTTATACATGCAGACAGGTACACACATACAGATTTTATACATGCAGACGGGTACACACATACAGATTTTATACATGCAGACGGGTACACACATACAGTTATTTTATACATGCAGACGGGTACACACATACAGATTTTATACATGCAGACGGGTACACACATACAGATTTTAGACCTGCAGACGGGTACACACATACAGATTTTAGACCTGCAGACACGGGTACACACATACAGATTTTAGACCTGCAGACAGGTACACACATTCACATGTGAAGTCAGAAGAATTGTACCTGTCTATAACTCAAGTACTTTAGGCATATACAGTATTTTACGCAGGACCTTCCGCCAGCTCTGCCAGCAAGAATTTGCATTCCAAGCAGAAAATATGCATATGCTGTGTGAATGAAGCCTACGGAGTGAGTTAGAGGTCTCTCATCTGTTTTTCTTGGGGGTGCAACCTGATATTGATGAGACAGCTTAGAAAAGTTGCTGGTTGTGGCGCTCAATTTCTGTTTCTACACATCTGTCCATTTTTTTCTTATGACAGGTTTCCTTTAGTATGTAAAAATGTTAAAAAGAAAAGACAGAGTCCTTGTTGCACCCCCAGCTCATTTACCATGCTTATCATGTCCTCAGTAAATGAGACTGAGCCACAGATGAGTGTGTAGGTGTTTTTTTCTTCTGCATGTCCCCAACACTATCTCCAAAAAGGTGGAGTTGATCCTTCCAATCTTGGAGTTCTTCATGTAGCTCATGGGTAGGTTTTCTAACGATTGTTCCTACAAAGAAAAAAAAAAAAAAAAAAAAAGGTTTAAAATCATGAAAAGGAATGGACAAGGGAATAGCAAACACAATATTCTAATGAGCCTGATCCCCAGACCATCAGATATATTTGTGGAGGTCAAAGGATGACATCCAAATGGAAACTTTGTATAAGCCATTGTGTCAGAATGGAGCGTAATGATAGATGTCATCTATTTACATACTGCAAGCTGTCACCAGACCATTCATTTCATCACAATGTTCCCATAATAATAGAAGTGCATTTATTGTGTTTTATGTATGCTATTTACCTGTAAAGATTTCCTTTGTGTAGACAACCAAAAGCCATGAGACTGCTGCTAGAAGAAACCATCTTGTTTGTGACATTAGCAGCTCCAGCAGACTCAGAGCTGATACTCAAGTGACACTATAATATTCTATTCCACTCCTTCTCCAGCTGCTGCACAAAAGTTTATGTAGGGAGGTGAAAGGAGGGACATAGGAGCTGGGTCAGCACAGACAGAGATTAGACACTCCCAAAAGAAGAGATGGCTATGACATGCAAGTAGGAGAGGGCTGGAATAGGGGATTAACACTTTAAGTGGTCAGGTTTTCCTAGCAAGTAAGCATGCAAATGGAAAGTTAATAAAAAAAGATTTATGGAAGGTGGCGAATGGTCTCAGAGACCCTGCTGTTGTCCTACCCCTCCCACCCTCCTAAGGACACCTGAGCTTCCCTCTCCCTTCAAGATTGCACCTTCCCATAAAAACCTACCTAAAAAAATTAACCCCTACAGAATCCCCGCCACTTTGACACAAACCATCATGACGTCACTCAGCTCCCACTGCTCCTGCCACCTATGACTGCCTCAACCACGATAACCTTTCACCTCTTCCACTAAACTACTTTAGGAGCTCAATTATTCCAAAAGTGTGCCACTGAAAGCTATGCTTCCAAAGATGATCAGCATGTGACCCTGTATACCGTACATTGAATGTTCAATGTCAACCTTTCTTGCACACTTGTAATTATACAAGTGTGTATTGTACACGCTAAATTATCTCCTTACTTTTGCAATAAAAAAAAAATTAATGGGGAGAAAAAAAAGCTGCAAGTAAGATTTTAATATGAAATTTTCCTGCAGTTGTACCTCCATTTTTTTTTTTAAGTTGGTGACAGGGTCTCTGTAGCCTCCCTAGCGGTCTGATTATATCCATATTTCTGTGCTCAAAGTGGTACATTTTTTTGCATGGAAATATGTCTTTTTTTTTATTGTAGGCCTGTAATTTTTAAGAATAACTCACTGAAATCTGTCCGAACAAGAGTCTAGTAAACATCCCGGGTATGATAAAATTTGAAACACGAAATCATAAATAATATAATAAATAATAATAAAAAATAATAAATATAATAATAATAAATTGAATTCAATAATATAATCAAACCAAAAACACTGAAATTTGAAATAGAGCGCCATCACTGCGCAAAGTCGCAAAATTGTTTTCAGTGTCTGATGACGAATTTCCCCACAAATCATTATCACTCAATTCTGCTAGTGGTTCTGATTTACTATCGCTGTTCTCTAGCTGGTCTAAAACCACTTTTGACCTAAAGGGACGCTTTTTGGACGCTTCTCAGTTTCCAGGCAGAAAGAACAGTAAAAATGCAGGCAGGGCGCAGGACAAAGCAGTAGGGACAAAATGTATGTGAAATGGTTTGATACAGTAATGTTTTACTATGAGATTTTAGTGTATTGAGTGAATATCACTTTTTGACAATTTTAAATTTCCCGCCAGTTACGTCCCCCGTACGTCCCGAAGCTCGCAGGGAATGGAATCCGGAAGACAGATGCCGGCATCGGCCGGAGGAGATGGCCGGGGACGCTGCAGGGGGGACATCGCGGGAGCGAAGGACAAGGTAAGTACAGAAGGGATCCCAGAGCAGCGCTGCAAGGTATTCCCGAGTGTAGCTCGGGGTTACCGCTTGTGGTGCTGAAACTTTACCCTGAGCTACACTCGGGAATACCTCCAGGGAGGTTAAAGCCAAAACTAGATAGACTGGGTAAAGCATAGAACTCCTGTAAGGTTTTTAGTTCACTCTGTGCCCCTGTTGGAGAAATTTTCCCTTCCAGGTCAGAGAATTATGGGAATTCTCTCCAGTGTTGATTCAGACTGCAGTTAAACCCTTTTTTCAGTAAAATTGGGAAGGATTAGAACCTCTGTCAAGTTATTATTGCTCTCTGTGATTACCGGCCCTGGTGACACCCGCTTCCCTGATTTTCTGCCCAGTGGGACAGGAAGTAAAGTAATATCTCCCCAAAGGGATCCCAGAAAACAATAAAAAAAACTCTTTACTTTTTACAAACCTTTCCAAAATGAAAATATAAAAATGACTAGAGCTGGCGGAGTAGATGTTTGTACACGTGTATGGTCCCAGCCAGAGGGGAGCATCACTATTCAGCAAGAGCTGACTGGTCACCTCTACCTTTAAAGTGGAACTAGACTCTTTCAGTCAACATGAACTATTTTTAATCCTCATGCTGCTAGCATTATTAAATAAAAAGGTATATTATATTTATTTGTTTTAGAGATAGTTCACACTAGATGCAGTCCAGTGGATTTGTTTTGCATCAAAAATGCATGCACAGTGTTTTCCATGCATTCCAATGGCCTTAGTTCACACTCAGTTCCAGTCAGTTTCCGGTGCAGAAAAAAAAAAAAAAAAAAAAAAAAAAGGTAGAACACGCTGCATTTTTTTTCTGCACAGAACTGTTGTGGAACATAGCAAACTGCATCAAAACTGCACCAGAACGGCGTGTGGTGTGAACTGAAAGCAAAAACGTATCCAGAATGCATTCAAAGTGCGTTTTTATGGTGTGAACTGGCCCTTAAACTTTTTTTTTTTTTTTTTTTTTTTAATTTTTCAGTTGTTTGCTAGTTTCTGACTTAGGTCATGCATCCCAGGAGTCTTTATGTTTAGTTTTTTTTTTTCTTTCATCTGGAGGAGGAGCTTTCTCATCTAAGCATACCTTTCCTGCATGCTTGAGCTAAGGGCAGATGGATTCCAGGAAGTACCTACATCTGCCCTTATTCAAGGTGGCCGCAGCAAGAAATGCCAGGGGGTGTTTGCAGTGACTGATCAACAAAATAAAGCATAGAGGCAGCACAGTGGTGAAATGGTTAGCACTTCCGCCTGGCAGTATTAGGGTGGTTGGTTCGAATCCCAGCCACGGCACCACCTGCCTGAAGTTTGCATGTTCTCCCAGTGCCTGCATGGGTTTCCTCCGGTTTCCTCCCACAATCCAAAGACATGCTGGTAGGTTACCTGGCTCCTGTCTAAACTGGCCCTAGTATGTGTACGTATGAATGTAAGTTATGGATCTTAGATTGTACACCCCTTGAGGGTTAGGGACTGATGTGAATGTACAATATATATGTACAGCGCTGTGTAAATTGACGGCACTATATAAGTACCTGAATAAATAAATAAATAATGGATGGATGGGTGAGCTTGCTTTGAATCATAAAAATGAATTAAATAGCATTTTCGGTTCATAGTACTCAGATACAGTTAAGTTCTGTTTTAACATCAGGATTCCATGCCCCTAAGGTAGCGATCATGTGATCACCGATCTGGATTTTGGTCTGGACACTGGCACCAAAGCAGTGATTTCTGAAGGAGAAACATTACTACTGATTAGGAATGGCAGAATAATACAACATTTGAGTACAGCCTCACTTCAGAGAACCAGATGTGTGCCCAGGTAACCTATGATCTAAATCCGAACCATGAAGACTGACCTGACTAAAGACATAAAACAGTCTGACATTCCAGAATCGAGCTTGTTCCTGCAGAAAATTCTTCATGTAGATGTTTTTAAAAGTTCTGAAACAAGTAACTAAAGTGATGAAGGTCTCATCGTCTTCATTGTCGGTCACAGCAGTCAGGATTGGTATCATTGGGGCCAGCCCGGTTCCTGAGCACAGCATAAGCAGCTCGCCAAACTAGAAAATACAAAAAGAATACATATTGAAACTCTAGAAAAAAAACATCTCTAATATACTGCAAGAATTTAGAACTCTTTTATTCCGTTTTTTTTTTTTTTTTTTTAAGTTTCTGATCTGCAGATGTTACAAACATTTGTTTCCACCCCAGCTGCTGTAATTTTGAAAATCAAGAGGAAATGGTTTGTATTTGACTATACAATTACATGTCCCATCCAGGGGCGGACTGACAACTCATAGGGCCCCCGGGCAATAGGGGATCATGGGGCCCCTGTGTCCTCGCCCACACCCAAAAAAGCCTATGAAACAGCCAATGAAACGTACCAGGGGCATCTCATGAGGCCCCCTACAGTGCCCGAGTGCACGAATGGTCAGTCCGCCCCTGGTCCCATCATTCATCAAAGCTCACAGGATGTAAGGAATAGGCCTGATGAAAATACCACGATGAATCATTTTGTCAAATTTCTTTTTATTCAAAAACTTTTTAAACGTATAGACATGTATGAATTTATACAATTACAATACCCAGAGTGAATCGTACATTTCTCAGGGTATCTCTAGTTGAAGAGACACTATGAGGCTCCATGCACACTAGCGTTTTTTTTAAGCTAAAAAAAACGCTGAAAAAAGCGCTGGATAAAAAAGGCTGGTAATAGCATTTTTTGTAGCGTTTTAACAGTACATGTAGAAAGGTACAGTACATGTAAAAAAGCTGTTAGGAGCATTTTAGAAGAGTTTAGCATTTTTTTCTGCTGGAAAAAAACGATCCAAAAACAATTTTTTTTCTGCTTCTAAATGCAGAAGCTCAAAAAGCGCTAATAGCCTAAATCAGTGTGCGTGAACACATAGGAGAACATTATTTAGCTATGAGCAGAAAAAAAAAATGTTAATTACAGCTTCTAGGAGCTTAAAAAAAAAAACTATTGTGCATGGAGCCTGAGTGTGCAATAACCATAAAAAGAACCGAGTACCTGGGAGCAGGTATGAGAACAAATATACAGGTACAAAATTCAAGAGAAAAGACCCCAGAGGGATTTTAAAGTATTAGGTAATGGGGTAAAAAGGGAATGATAATAAAAAGGATGAAAGTTCTGAAAATGCTGGAAAACACCTCAATAAAATGAATAAATTACTTTGCAACTAAAGCTCAAAAAGTGGAGTCACTGTGGGCATGTCAGCACATCCACGTAGTCCACACTACTCCGGATCAGGACTGTCTTCCACCACCATAAGATCACGATGAAACATTTCTTGCTATCAAACCTCATAAGCCTCATAAGCCAGGGGTGCTCAGCATTTTGAAGAGCGAGCAAATGATTTGGTAACCGGTCGTGGGCCACAATGAAATGAAATGGTTCAGAATTTCCCATTTTTTATTTTGAATAGTATAATGAACATTTTCCTCCTGAAGCTGCTGAATGCCCAGTGGGGAGGGGAATCGGGGGTTGGGAGGAGAAGCCAGCTTTTAATGGTTGCAGCAGGAAAATGGAGAGAATCGGTTCCTGTATATGCTGCCTCCGCTGTCCAAGTGTAAAACAGAATGTGACAGGGAGCCCGCACGGGCCCCCTGGAGCATGGGGCCGGGTCGCTATTACAACACATGACGCTACACCAGTGGTTGGGGGTGTGCTAAATAAACATCTCAACTATGGGGTTTTGCCACCCCCCAAACCACAGATGTAAATGAGCTCCTACTGTCCTGAGCACCCTATAAGGCTACTTTCACACTGATGCGCTGCGGTTTACCTGCTCCGCGGGTGCAGCACATTGCACCTGCGACTCGCCTACGGGTTAGCTGCGCTTTGCCATAGACGCCATGGACACCAAAACTCTTCCATTAAGAAGTTTTGGTACACTTTCAGAAAATGCACCAAAACAGCAGGATATAAGAGAGTGCTCTTCCCTGTTTTAAGTTCAAGGGCCACATCAGAGGGCCCTGCGGGCCAAGTTGAGCATCCATCATAAGCAATAAAAAAATGTAATAAGAAGAATATTACACTGCCTGCTCTGATTACATTCCACTTTGAATTCACTTTTTGAGTCACACACACAAGGCAATGCAAAGCTTGTCTATCAGAGTCACAGACCAAATAAATGTTTGTTTTCCCTACTGATCACTCATTATATATAGTATAGTATAGTATAGGTTTTTTATAAAGCAAAAGCAATTTACACAGCGCTTTATATACTATTCATTCACTTCACTCCCTGCCCTCAAGAAGCTTACAATCTAAGGCCCCTGTCTCACATATATACCTACTGGGGCCAATTTAGACAGGAGGCAATTAACCTATTGGCATGTCTTTGGAGTGTGGAAGGAAACCAGAGTACCCGGAGGAAACCTGCAAATTCCATACAGATAGCTTTCTGTTTCTGACTTGAACTGGTGACCCCAGTGCTGCAAGGCAGAAGTGGTTAGCCACTGAGCCCCTATAGGCAGGGATGGAGATGTCTCCATGGATCTCTGATACAGAGATGGTCTCCCTCAAGGTGATGCACACTCCAGCTGCTGTTTGGACAACTTTAAAACTAATACAAAGCAGCACAGAGACACTTTAAAAGAAGGAAATATTACTTAGTGTTTTATTTGTATCACCGATGCGAGTCTAATCATTTTTTTCCCCAAATGTTGGAAATCCACTTGAATTGATGTGCTTTCACCATGTTACATGGGCAAATACAGCAAACTATCATTATAGTTCCTTACCATATAGTATTATATGTTTTATGGAAATCATGACAGAGAACATAGATCCATAGCCACCAGTCCTTGCCACAAAGAGCCTGCAAGTCAGTTCATTTTTTTTTTTTTATTATTATATCTTTTATTAAATTTTCCTTTAAAAGTACATTACAAAACAGCCATAGTTCTTATTACATCATACACATATACTTAATCCCCATTCCCTCCCACCCCCCCCCCCCCCCCCCCCCCCAGTACAAAAATCCCTGTCCAATTTCGTCCTATCCTCTCTTTCCCCTCCTATTGATCTAGTCATGTATAGAGGTCTATTTATCCATTTAACTTCTCTGACTCTACTACCGGGGGGACTTTCATTTTTAAAGCAGAGCTCCACACCAAAAGGGGAAGTTCCGCTTTAAAGATTGGTCCCCCGCTCCACATTAAGGATTGGCACCTTTGGAGGGCGGGGGGGGGGGGGGGGAGCAGGTACCCAAATTTGACAGGTACCCGCTCCCACTTCCATTCCGGTTGCCTAGGTGATCAGAAGCGGAAGGTGTCCTCCATTCCTCCCTCCCCGAAGTGTTTAGGGACACATGACAGGTCCCATAAGACTACAGGACCATTCAGGAAGTGCAGAGCTACTTGCGCATGCGCAGTGGGTACCCGGCTGTAAAGCCGCAAGCTGTCACAGCCGGGTGCCCACACTGAAGATGCCGGCGCCAGGGAGAGAAGACAGCTGGTACAACGGGCTGCAGGGGACACACCGCGGGTCCGTGAGACAGGTAAGTGTATGTTTTTTAAAAGTCAGCAGCTACAGTTTTTGTAGCTGCTGAGTTTTATTTTTTGACAGCGTGAGTGGAATTCCACTTTAAATATTTTTCTGATGTTATAAACACATTCTATCTACCCCATGTCTTTCTAAATTTTTCCATTTCATCTTTTTCCATATAACAAAAGTTCCTCCATCCCCTTAACATATTCAGTTTTTATCTATCCAATCCCTCATTGTTGGAGGTTCCTGAGCCTGCCAACACTTAGGGATTAAACCTTTTGCAGCACTAATCAGATGGTATAATAGGCTATTTTTATATTGTTTAACTGACATCTCTGTTTTATTGAAAAGACACACCCACTGATCCTTCTGAATAGATGTCCCCCAAATCTCCTGTATACGATGAATTATCTCCTGCCAAAACAAGTGAATTTTTGGGCACTCCCACTATATATGAGCCATTGTCCTTACTGCCCCACATCCTCTCCAGCATAAAAGTGATACTTCTACTCGCTGTTTATGTTCCCCACTCCGAGTACAATACCATCTAGACAAACATTTAGAATTCATTTAGAAACATTTAGAATTCCTATCAACTATATTCGTGATCATCACCTTAAACATTTTCCTCTTCTGTTGATCATTTATTTCTGCACCCAATTATTTTTCCCACCCTTTCAAGAATTATGGGGATCCAGCTCCCACCAGGATCTTATACATCTTACATATTATATGTCCACAGCCCATCTTAGAACTCAGCAGTTTTCCAAATGGGAGCATGTCCCCCACCGTCCCAAGAGGCTGAGGAAGCGTTGAGACAAAATGTCCCAATTGGCAATATCTCAATTCATCTAAAACAAAAAACAAATCCCTTTTATTCTTTAATTCTTGCAAAGTGCATAACTCCCTTTGTCTACTATATCTCCCAAACGTGCATTTCTATCTTTAAACCATTTTCCCAAAATGTTCCCTCTCCCCAGGGGAAAATATTCTGTGTCCACCAACGGCAACAATAATGAACTATATTTCCATCCCATGGACTTGTGTAAACCATCCCAAACTCTCAATACATCCCGTGTCAATGTGCTACTATTTTCATCCAATGCCCAAAACTCTTGTGGGATCCAAATGATCCTCTCCAACTGTGTTTTACTTAATATGCCTTCCATTTTAAAGTCAGTTAATTTATTGTTATGTTTTATACCTTGTACATGAGAGACCTTGAACCTGACCTTGTTGGGTTTGTATGGAAAGCCTCCAAATGGTCCCCTCCATGATACAGAGTCTCCTTCTCTCCAGCATTTTATGTACTCTGACATCAGACCATGTTCATAGACCTATAATAACAGACACATACATTATTAAAAGGGGTCTGGAAGTTCATACGTTTTTATTACTCATCTAATCCAACTTTTCTCAGACCGGGTTCACATATGTTCGAGGTCGGTTTCAGTGCGATTTGTAAAAGGAGTCCAGTGCTGTTTCTTTCAGTGGTTCAGGTGCGATTCAGGTGCAAATTTTTAAAGTGTATTGAAATCACGCCTGAACCGGACTGACTCGTACCTGGCTCTTTTTAAAATTGCACTGTGGCAGCCCCGCACATACATGAACCGGTTCCTTAGATAGTCTCATGTCATGTGAATCAGATGGATGAACCTTGGAGGAACTCTTGAAATAAATATCAGGCCTCAAGAAGCCCCTGCTAAAAATAATATCAATGAGTTGTAAAAAGATTTACATAAAGAATGTGGTGTATCTAGAGTATTTGACACCCAGAGGTTATGTTAAAACGGTCCCCTGCTAAGTAAAAACAAAATATTTTTAGTATTATTCCTGAAATTAAATAAAATAGTGGTAATAATAATAATTGCCAGTGAAACTGCACCCCCTTACATTAGTACCAGAGGAGACATGCCCCCTTACTGAGGTGTTCAGTGTGGGTATCACTCATTGGAGAAGTACTCATTACATTGTTAAACAGTATAGTACCCTTTTATTTTGGTGATTATTGTAGAAGTGACCCCTTACATTGGATGTCAGTGGAAAATTGGCTACTTACATTCACATAGTAGTGCATAGTAGTACATCACACCACTATTCCTCCCTGCTCAAGGGACCCCTAGCAACATCTGGAGGAACCCTAAGGTACCAGGGAACCTTTTTTGAGAAAAGCTGGTCTAATCATTTAAGTATCTTTTCTATATTTGTTATTTATAATCCACGGGGATAACAATCCTCTTTCAGTATGTTATGAATAGATTAAAGCAGGGCTTAAAATTTCAAGTCCTCAGCTACTTGCCAGGCCTTAAGAGTTACTCGCCACCAACAAACACACACAAACAGAGAAACCTGTACACACACACACACAGACATGTACATATACACACACAGAAACATGTACACACGCACACACACAGACACATACACACACAGAGACATGTACACACATACATACACGCACAGAGACATGTACACACACACACACATGCAGACACATGTATACACACACAGGCACGTACAGACATGCATACACACAGATACATGTACATACACAGAAATACACAAGCATAGACACATGTACATACACACAGACACATGTACGTACATACACACAAACACATACACACGTACATGCACACACAGACACATGTACATACACGCAGACACATGTACAGATACACACATGTACATACACATGTATATACACGCACACACGCCCCCTATAAAAAGTTGCAGTACTTCGTTGTTCACTCATAGAGTCGGGTACTGCACTCTAGGGGGAGGCAGAGAGCACAGAACACACTCCTTCCATTTCTTTCACTGCGCTCAGCTATTGAGCAGTCTGACGGCTCCCAGTGCCAATGACAGATCCTGCCTGAGCTCCGAGCCTGCTCAGTAAGACGGCCCTAGGGACACCGTAATTTCCACTCGCCATTGGCGAGCAGGCAAGTGGAAATCTCAAGCCTTGGATTAAAGTATAAAATTGGCCACAGACATGAGATTACAGTCACCCAGTAGGGCTGTTTTCTGCGGTACTGGGGTATTATCTCACATCTCTGGCCAACTGCTCTCAGGCATTGATTATACAGTTAGGTAAAGTTAGAAAACCTTGTCTGATTAAAGAATATGTAAACCCAACATTTCATATTTCTGATATATACCTGCTGTACCATGTACCTGTATGAAAAAAGTACCCTGTATTCTTTGCATTTCTTCCTTTTTGTGAAATCCCTGGTGTTCCTGTCAGTCCCCTCTGCTTTCCTATTAAAAACTGACCACACTAGGCATGAGAGCACAGTGTGGTCAGTTCTCTAGCTGTGCTGGGAACGCAGCCTGTTCTCCTCCAATGATTACACTTTTCCTGACACGCCCCCCTGTGCAGCCATTCACTTTGAAGACCAGTGTGCTTCTGTTTATCCTCCCCCACCTCTCTAAAACAGCTGAGAACAGAGGGTATGTGATCACTTCTTAAAAAGGGAAATAAAATATATGTGTAATGTTTTGTATATCTAGGCAAGTGTTTTACCTTTTATTTCTATTTTAAACTGAATGGGTTGTTTTACAAGCTGAGGGTTTACATGTACTTTAATATTCTCAAAGAGATAAGAGAAGCTGGCAACATCTTGACAAATCTCCCTCTTTAAATAGGCATGACATGAAGATGAACGCTCAGAATACTCAAGAACATCTAATTCTACAATAGTGATGCAAGAATGGTGCCAGAAGACAGACAAGTCATGGCTACATGTAAAGTCCAAGAACATCTTTTTAGATTACCTGTACAATACAAGGCTGTCCTAAAACTCCTCAATTCATCCCTCTGTAGTGACCAGTACTAAATGTGTTTTTTGGCTGTGTCTAGGACAATCTGATCACATTTGTGCTGCCAAATGCAGCATATTAATGCATCATCTAATGCGGGGGGTCAGCAACCAGCAGATCACAGCCAGGTGACTGGTAGTGCAATGCAGAGGGACTACTTGTAAAGCTGGAGCTGTAGTAGGGATCAAGAGCTGCATAAGCGGATGCCTCCTCTGTAGTGCCGGCTTCTGTCCCATGTGGAGGGATACCAACTGCACTCCACCTCTTATCCCGGCTAGCGGTCTCCAGGGTGGTGCCAGAGCAGGAAAAAGATGTTCAGGTCAGTGAGAAGCAATACACTGGGCATAGTAGTATACGGCTGCTTTCACACTGATCTGCTGCAGTTTACCCACACCACGGGTGCAGTGCAGTGTACCTGCAGCTTTTCTGCAGGTTTGCTGCGCTTAGCCATATACCTATTATATCCTACAGGATTGGCGCACTTTCTGAAAGCTCACCACACCTGTAGGATATAAATACAGTGGGGAAAAAAATCATTTGATTTCCTGCAAATGTTTTTACATTTGCCCACTTACAAAGAAATGAAGGGTCTATAATTTTTATCATAGGTGTATTTTAAATACTAGAGACAGAAAATCAACCAATAAAATCCAGAAAAAAAACAAAAACATGAAACAAATGTTATAAATTGGAGTTCAGGGGGTAAAAAAAGTATTTGATCCCCTGCCAACCAACAATAATTCTGGCTCCGCAATAACAATAAACAAACAGAGGGTGCACTGGCCTAGTGCATTATCCTTTAACCACCTCCCGTCTGGCTGTTGTATATAAAACGGCCGGACAGTGGCAGTGCAGGGTCGGGTGGTCGTTTAGAAATGGCCTCCCCGCCCCCTGCTTGTGCGCGCTCCCTGGGAGCGCACAGCACCGCGATCCGGTGCCCGCTGTGTCCTCCGGACACAGTGGAGCACCGATCGTCGGACGGGACCTCTGTGCAGAGTAGTAAGCAAGATGTCACTTTTGACATCATTGCTTACTACGTGTCAAATCTGTGAATGATCACAGAGGTCACATGGTACAAGGCTGTTCACAACAGCCTTGTACCATGTGACAAGCTGTGACCAATCACAGCTCACACAGTAGTTCTCAATGGCTGCAAGAATGCAGCGCCAGAGAAAAGGAGAAATGATTGCTTTTACAGCCTTTATGGGTGTAAAAGCAATCAGTGTAAAAAAAAAAAAAAAAAAAAAAAGCATCACCGCCCCACAAGTAGTACAGTGTCACCATGGTGACACTGTACTGCTAGGGTGATAGTATGTTAAAAAAAAAAAACACAAATAATAATATAAAAGAAAAATCAAAATGTAAAAAAAAAAAAACTGCTTAAAAATTATAATTTTTGGTTATAAACTAATTTAGGTTATTTTTTTTTTACTAAAAAGGTAACGGAATAAATTTTGACCAAGATTTATGATGAAATATTATTTATTTGCAAAATTTTATAAGAAAAACACTTTTGTTCAAAATGTTTGGACTTCATTTACATAGCAAAAAAAATTAAAATCCCAGCGGTGAATAAATACCACCAAAATAAAGCTTTATCTGTCTCAAAAAAAATGCTAAAAATTTCTAAAAATTTCATATGGATACAGTGTTGCATGACCGCGCAATTGTCATTCAAAGTGTCATAGCACTGAAAGCTGAAAATTGTCCTGGACAGGAAGGGGGTAAAAGTGTCCTGACTGGAAGTGGTTAAAATATTTAATATGTAAAAAGGTAAGTATTATACTCACAAAGTCATTAAAAGTACAAATTCATCTCACGAGTACAGCACAAACAGTCCGCAAACATCGAGATGTAAGAGAACGATGGAACATCCACAGGCTGATGCATTTTGAGGGCTTATCCTCTTCCTCAGAGAATACTGCTCTGGACTGAGGCTCTGAGGAAGAGGATAAGTCCTCGAAACGCGGACTGTTTCTGCTGCACTCATGAGATGAATTTGTACTTTTAATTACTTTTTGAGTATAATACCTTTTTACATAATAAAGATTTTAAAGGATAATGCACTAGGCCAGTGCTCCCTCTGTTTGTTTATTGTTATTGCAGTGCTCCCAGACCCCCCCCCCCCCCCCCCCCCCCCTAGTCTTGTGAGAGCAGCAAGGCAACTGAACCCCATGAAGGCCAAGTTTTGACTACAGCCCATTAACTATTTTTGGGCCAACTCCCCAAGCGCAGGAAGATTTCAGTTTTCCATTTCTTTGTCAATAATTCTGGCTCCCACAGACTGGCTATGGGCTCATGTGGTACACAGGTTAGTCCTGTCAATTTAAGAAGATGGTCCTAACAACAACTCTTTATGTGTATAAAATACACCTGTGCACAGAATCTCATTCTTCCTCACCATCATGGGCAAGACCAAAGAACTGTCAAAGGATGTCAGGGACAAGATTGTAGACCTGCACAGGCTGGAATGGGCTACAAGATCATCAGCAACAACTGTTGGGGCGATCATTCG